ACCTGTAATCCCAGCTACTTGAGAGGCAAAGGGCAAGAGAATCACTAAAGGAAGAAAGAAAAAAAAATTAAACAAAAACAAAACTTCAAACTAAGATGAGTGAAAGGCAGCTGAAATTGAAAACAAAATTAAAAAAAAATAACTGTTTTCTTTTCCTTTCCTTGACCCGCTCCCTCCTTCTCTATCTGGTCTCCCATTCCCCCATGCCCCACCATGTCATTGTCATTAATTGTCCTCATATAAAAGTTGAATACATAGGATTCAAGCTTCTCCATTCCTGTGATGCTTCACTAAGAATAATGTGTTCCACCTCCATCCAGGGCGGGTGCCTGTAGACCCAGCTATTTAGGAGGCTGAGGCAAGAGAATCACTTGAGCCCAAGAGTTTGAGGTTGCTGTGAGCTGTGATGCCACGGCACTCTACCCAGGGCAACATAGTGAGACTCTGTCTCAAAAAAGAAAGAAAGAAGAAATAAGAAGAGGAAAAAAAATCTAAAGAGATTTAAAAGTTTGGGTGGAGGACAAAGGCTAATGTCCCCATGAGGCTTTTAATACTATTTGATTATACTCTATGCATGTTTTATCTCGAAAAAAAAATAATGTTGTAAAACTGATCCATGTAACCAGAAAATATTTCTTCTCCCATAATACTTTGAAGTAAAAGAATAAAACCTAATTTTAACGGCATTCATTTTAACAGCTTGTGAGAAAAGAGTCTAAAGCTCAGATATGTACACTTTTTTAAAGGATCATAAACTAGGAGTCCAAATGCAAATCATAATCCTAAATCCCCTCCCGGATTAGAGAATTTAAAAAGGCGAAACCCTCCATTTTAAAAGTTACAAAGGTTTGTAACTTTTAAAGTGCTAAGCAAAGTGCTTTCACTAATTCTAGTAAGCAGGGGACACACACTCTCAGTACCCAAACCAACCAACTCCCGTGGGGGGAAGGAGAACCTTGTCCCCACACCCCCACAGTCCACCCCTCCCAACCCCCCCAGGACCCTCCCTCAGCTCATCAGCTGTCACCTCCGGGAGCAGGTCCTCCCTCAGAGTGCTCCCTAATGGTCTGAGCACATGTCCATCATCACCTTTGTCACCATGAACATTTACTTGTGTAGCTTCCCGTCCACACTCCAGACTCCTGGAGGGCATCCTTGTCAGTCAAACCCTCAGCACCCAGCATGACAGGAGGCCTGAACAAATGCTCTTAAAAGATCAAGTGAGCGAATGAATGAATGAATCATAATACACACACCGCTGCTCTCCTCATCACTCGACAGTCAGGGGGTCCTGAAACCCAAAGCCACTTGCTTATTCTGGGTGAATTAATCGCACCTCCTTTTACTCTTACCTGTAGACAGTTCCCCGCTGGATGTAATGAAAAGCATCGATCTTCATCAGCACTGCCTTTAAAAATATAAACATACACACATGTAAATAACAGACAACAACTTGCATATTAAATAAGCAAGCCAGCTATCATCATAGAGCCCAAGCGCACTGCAAGTTCCTAAAAGGCCTGCTTGTTAATTAAAGTGCTGGACAGCTCTTTAAGGAAACTGGCCTATCCACAAAAGCCGAAAACCAAAAAAAACCCAAAAGATATGACAATTGGCTCCTCCTTAAAACACCCCAAAAACAGCTACCAGAAATAAAAAGTACATCCCCAGTAACAAAATGCATCCGTGCTTTTCTGACACATAGTCTCTTCAAAAGGATTTTACTCCAAGATATTTGAATAATTTGGTTCTGCCGCCCCAAATAACAATTTATAACCAATTTACCTGTTCAGCAAATACAAAGCATCAAGAAGGCATTTTAGTTTCAAATGCCATTAAACCATAGAAAAAGCATGAGATGTGAACTCACCCGCTGTACGTCATAATGAAGTCCACGAATTGCAAAATTTGGGTCATACTCATACTTCTTGATTTCCACGGGATACTAAGAAAAAAGAAAGGACTTGGTTTTAGCCAACAAGGTACCAAGTCCAGGAACATGTCTTGACCTGACCTTGTACACAGGCTGGTGGGAAGGTGGGGTCAGAGGACAGACCACAGCTTGCCTCTCTGCTTCAGGCCTGAGTGTCTCCTGGAAAGCACACGGGCCACAGGCCTCCATCCTGCCCCGGGCACAGCTGATCTGCCCAAGCACGGGCTGGCCTCATCCCCTTCCCCCTCAAGTGCTCTCATCTTAACTCTCCCCTCCCAGCCCCCTCCCTAAAACCCAGGTAACGCATCTGTTCCTCCCTCCACCCATCTCTCCTCCTCTTGTTTCCAAGGCTGCGGAGGAGGAGGAGCCGGAAAGTCCCCTCTATTACTAGAAGCACAACTTTTCCCAAACACATTGTCAACGATCCATTTAGCTCTAGTTTGAGCGCCTCAGTGCCGCAGCCCCTGGGGTGGCCCCACCACCAGCTTCCACTGAGAGACCCAAGGTGAAAACTTTTCACAGGGTGCCCTCCAGACAGCCTTCATCACTTTGCTTATCTGGACAGCTGGCCGCCACTCACCTCCACGATGGTCCCTACAGCTACCCAGCTGCTCAACACCCAGACCCTAGTCGCTGCTCGGATGCTCTGTCTCAGAACACTCAACTCCCCTGTCATTATCAAGCCATCCCTCACACTATGCAAACACACTGGCTCCTCCCTCCCTACCGCACCAAGCATCCAACTCCTTCCTTCCTCCCTAAAGCTCAGAGTACCAGCCACCTAGCTGGCGGCACCCACCCGTGGTCACTGCTTCTGCTGGTATAGCATGGCGGGCCTTGCTATCCTCATTTTACAGAGGGGACATCCAGGGTCCAGATGAAACACGCAGCCTGGGCCATCCCAGCTGGGCCACAGTAGGAAAGTCAGGCTCAGACCTTCACCTCTGCTCTCCCCCACGCCCCCTCTGCCTTCAGAGCACTGGCCTGCAGGACAGACCAGCTATCGACTCCTGAGTCTAGGGAGGCGGCATCATCAGTACCTTCCAATCATGACGTAACTGCTTATTCAAAAACCTGCACCACTTTTAAGACAGCCAGGAAACCTCCCTGCCCGGCTGTGCTGCTAACGTTCCATGGCCAGGGTCCCACTTGTGCAAGAACATTTCCTGGGACTACCCAGCTGAGCCACATGCACCAAGTTCTCAAGTCAAACTGCACACAGCGCCAACTCAAATGTCAGGTTTGGGCTCATTTATCTACCACCTGCCATGCGTGCCAAGAAATCACTAATCCGATATTACCACTTATGGGCGTCCCCAAGCATTCTGAACACGGTGTACAGACCCACATTCTTACCAACAGACTGGACACAGCTGCCACAGAACCTGGAACCACGGTTCTGCTTACTGGCGAGGGGCCAAGGGACTTCAGCAGCTCTACGATCTCCTTTTATACTCAGGAGAGATGAAGGAGTAAGAAGGCAGACAGGAAAGATGTATCTTAAATGTCACTGAGAGACGTGTCTGGACGAAGCATTTGCTATGTGCTATACTCTAGAGGCTTTCTCTGGCTTTACCGACTTTATTTCTCACCATGCCAACCCCAAGGAGATAGGGAATCTCAGGCCTGTCTTTCCTGCTGGATAATCTGAAGATCAGAGTCAAAGAACGTGGCCAGAGTCACAAAGCTAGATAGCAGTCAGGTCACTATTTGAATACAAGTCTGTGTCATGCCCAAGTCCATGCCAAACCACCACATAATGCCTTCTAAAGCAACTCTGAGTCACCATGCTGGACACTCGCTGCAGCCCCCAGGGACAGCAAGCATCCACCAGCTCAGAAGGAGCTCTGTAAGTCTGACAAAAGGACTTACAGTTCGGAGTGGAGCACTGACTATCTGAGCTGAGAGCCGAGCATACACTGCTGAGAAGTCTGGCATTTCTTTCTCTGAATGAGGTTTGTCTGGGCTAGAAGGACACGCCCCATGTGCAGGCACATGCCCCCTGCCTCTCACTCTCACTGATTTCTTGGAGAACCACTCCCGAGAGATAGGCAATGTTTAGCAAGTGGTCCAAAGACCACAGCAAATGACCTTGACAGTTGGCAGAGGCAGCTGAAAGAGCCTCGCCCTGACAATTTCATAATGAAGAACATGGCTCCCAGGCTGAGAGAACAGGTGTCAAATCCTGGCTGACAGTAGAACCTCTGTAAGTTGACCACCCAAGGGTCTATTACAAACCAGTCAACATACAGAGGTGGTCAACATAAGGAACTCAGCCTGCTGTATTGATACGTACATTGGGTGCATGTCCAGTCTATGAAAAGTAGGTCAACTTAAAAAGTAGTCAGTGTAGGGAGGTAGTCAACTGTGAAGGTTCCACAGTAGTTAGCTCTTTTTTGTTTGTCTGATTTTTTGAGCTAGGGTCTCACTTTGTCACCCAGGCTGGAGTGCTGGAGTACAGTGGCATGATCATAGCTCAACATAACCTCAAACTCCTGGGCTCAAGAATGCACCATCAGGGCGGTGCCTGTGGCTCAAAGGAGTAGGGTGCCAGCCCCATATACCAGAGGTGGCAGGTTCAAACCAAGCCCTGGCCAAAAACTGCAAAAAAAAAAAAAAAGAATGCACCATCATACCCAACTAAGCTTTTTATTTTTTGTAGAACTGGAGTGTCACGATATGTTGCCTAGGCTGGTCCCCCAAATCCTAGCCTCAAGTGACCCACCTCAGCCTCCCAAAGTGCTGAGATTACAGGTGTGAACCATCAAGCCTGGCCAACATTGGTTCTTTAATTGTGACAAATGTATCACAGCAATATAAAGTGTTAATGTTAGGGAAATTGGGAATTCAGTATTATCTTTGCAACTTTTCTATAAGCCCAAAACTATCCTGAAACTAAAAGTTGATTTAAGAAAGAGAGAGAGGGTCCACAGCATTTGCTGAGAGATCAGATGTGGGACATAGAATGTAGCAGGTCCAAGCTGATGTTACACTTTGATTTAAACAACCAGGTGATCACCGGGGCTAATGAATGAGAAGAGAATTCGAACAAAGCTGTGAATCCAGGAGACAGCATCAAGCATCTGCCAGTCCCCTGCGATTCCTGGTGGACGCAGGAAATGAAAATATGGAACCAGTTGTCACCCGAATCTTTTTAATTTCCATTTTTATAAAAAACAGGGTAATTACAAAGGAGCTGAAACTTGTTACACTTGTTTCCTAGAAAGTCCCTAATAACGAATTTACCATTCTATTACTGTGTCTCAAAAGCAGATGTCTTTCCACCTCTCCAGGTACACAAAGTACATTCAGTCTCAGCTGGAAAAAATGGCACTGAACTCAGCGCATCTTGGAAGAACTATTTCGTTTAAAAACAGCAAGAGAAAACTCTGCAGAAGCATAATTGCCACTACAGATATGCCTAATATAATTAGTGTTAGAACATTTTTTTATCAAATGAGAAAATGACATAATGAGAATAAAATTTCAATAATCTTAAATCTAGAAGCTTTTCAAATCACAATGATTATACCTTGTATCTATTTCATCTTTCTCCCCCTAAATTCCATAAATGTTTTATGTTCATAAATGTTTCATTTTCATGAATATTTTATCTTCCTCCAAACAAAAAACCCACAGGCTGGAAAGGTGTCACCAACACTACACCAGGCACCATGGGATACAGGAGAGCACACAAGTCCCCCGGAAACGGGCAGGTCTGGGTTGAAATCCTGGCTCTGCCTCTTGCTGGCCTGTGGCCTTGATCTAGTAGCATAACTCTTTGAGCCTCAGTTTCCTCAAATGTAAAGCAGAGATGATGTCATACGTGTGGAGTTGTACAGATATAAAAAACAAATTAGTAAATAGCTAGCATTTATTGAGTGTTTCCTATGTGCCAGGCACTTTACATACATGAACCCGAGAAGTTACAACAGTAACACTGCAGGAACAGCATCGTTCCCATGCCCATTCTACAAAGGAGGAGACCGAGGCCCAGGGAAACTGGGTGAACTGATGAAGATTACACAGGAAATAAGAGTCGAAGGCCAGGATCTGAATTCCAGCAGTCAGGCCTTATGACCTGTGCTTCTGACACCTCGCAGACAGTAAGCACTGCCGTCAGGGTCAGGATCTGCTTTTTGGAAGTGACATCAAAGTCACAGAGAACGCTGCAACTGACCTGGAATGAGAATGCCAGCATCAACGCAAAACCCACCAAATGCCATGGGGGGTGGTGAAGAGAGAGCGTCAGGCAGCAGATAGGAGATAAGGGCAGAAGCTCTTTGTTCTGAGTCTGCCTCCAGCCCACCATCCGGGGAAAGGACCACGTGATTTTCAACCAGTGTGCCATGGCACCCTGGTGCTTCGAGAGGATCTTAGGTACGCTGCTAAACTTTTTAAAGATCATTAATTAATTTTTGAAAAGAGTTCAAAGCACAGTAAGTACATTCTTTTTTTTACTACTTTTTTTCATCAACATAATTTAAGTGTGCCACAGAAGCATAACTACAGGTTCAAGTGTGCTGTGAGATTAAAAAGATAAAAAAACACTGGTTTAGATGGAAAGAGAAAGTCCCTCGAACAAATAAAGACCGGCTACTGGGTGGCAAGTGGCTAGAGCAGCGGTTCTCAACCTGTGGGTCACGACCCACAGGAACTGTATTAAAGGGCCACGGCATTAGGAAGGTTGAGAACCACTGGGCTGGAGGGTTTACCTTGCATAAAGGGGCCGTAAATAAAGAAAGCTGGCTGTTGGCTTAGTGGCAGAAGGGAAGGTTCTTCTTGGCAAATACATTTCTGCACTTTGGATAAGGACAAAAGGAGTTGGTTAGATCCACTGATAACCCAAAGCTGAGAGGGATCAGAAAAGACACAGTGGATCCAATGGTCAGGATTCAAAACTAATGGAAATTTTGACTGCATTAATAAAAGAACGGAATCCAGACCCAGGCAGGTGATGGCCTCCCTCTGTTCTACACTACTCAGACCCTACCTAAGGTAACATCTTCAGTTCAAGGGCTCCTACTTGGGAGGGACAAACCAGCGTGCACACACACAGGAGGGTGGCAACCAGGATAATGACGAAGAGGACAAAAGACAAGGGTTAAGAGTTAATAATAATGAGCCTGGGAAAGGACATGGAGGGCGTCATGGCTGGAATACACACCAGCTCATCAGGTCTGGTGAAATTCAAATGGTCACACACAACACATCAGTTTGCACGATTGGCATGTTTAGGTAACTCACACACACACACACCCCAAACCACCTTTGCCAACACACTCCCTCATGAGGACGCTGAGCTATCACCACCTTATTTGTTTCTCTGATTCCCTGGGGCAGGGAAAGTTGTTCCAACCACCCTGTACCCATCCTCAGCTCTCTGTTCGGGTGTCCAAAGAGGCCCCCTCCATGGGTAATCCCTGCCTCCTACTCACCTCCCTTAGGTTCCCTGCTTCTACTGCAGGGCTTGGCACAGACGAGCCACTAATAAAGGCTTAAGGAACATAGGAAGGAATAAAGGAAAAAAGAAAAGAGACATCAGTAGTGAAACTACCTGATGGCAGAAATGTTCAACCCAGGAGAAAACTTCCTAGAAATCAGAACTGCCCCGGGGTAAGGTACTCCTGTCTCAGTCAGAGACCGGAGCTGTCCTTCTCAGGCTACTCCGGAGCTGTCCTTCTCAGGCTACTCCGGGGAGTTCTCAAAGGACACCAGCCCACGTGACCTTTGAGGATGCTTTTCATCCTGACTCCCGAAGCCTGTACTCAAAACCAGACTGGAGAAAAGAATGTTAGCGCTGAGTATTTTCTTTTTGTCCTTCCTCATTAAAAGCTTTCAATGATGCTACGCTTTAGAAGACATTCCGACATTCTTTACTCTGAGCGATTCAAACCTGTACTGACAGTAGAACTGTGCCTATCATTTGGGGACATTTTTTTGCTGTTGCTGGGCTGCACTAAGCTTTATTTCCATTTGGTCCAAGCCTTGGGAGAGGACTCCAGAGTGGTTAAAAGCCTGTTCTGTGGCTGGAAGGAGAGGCCCTGGCCCTGATATTTTCAGAAAGGCTCTTCAGAGGTCATCAGGTTCCATAGGGATTTGAGGAATTTCTAACCAGAACTCAACAGGCTGCCACATCATCAAGCTCTAGGAGAAACTGTATTTCTGCTCTGCAAAAAATAAGAATGCAAATATCTATAGCTGAATCTCTACCAAAGAGGACCTGGGGACAATCTTTTGCCAGGCACATCTAAACATTTAAAAAAACAAAAACAAAACTATCTTCCATATGAGAGTCAGATGGAAATTTAGCATAGAACAGAGTCTATTCATTCATTTAGCAGCAGTTTACTAAAAGACGTGGGGCTAAGTCAGTTCAAGATTGCCCTAGAGGAATGGGGGAGGGAGGAAGACAGAATCGTCCCTGCAATCTTACCCGGTGTTCATTGATGAGAAGGTCCCGAGCAGCATTAAATATCAGTGTGTGCAGGTGCTTTGAATAAAACACCAAGGTGTAATCGTAATCGAAGCCATAGATTTCAATGTCTGACAGGCTCATTTCATTGTTTGAGAAAATGGCATCTGGATTCAACAAGTTGCTCATAATTGAAGGAACCAATTCTGGAAGGAAAGAAAATAAATACATTATACCCCATAATAAAAAAGTAGTATGATTTCTAAAAAGAAATGAGTAAACTAGAAGACAAGAGGGTTTTGCTTGGCCTTGAAAACATGGTGAGCGAAAGAAACCAATCACAAAGGACCACGCATTCCATGATTGTGTTTATATGAAAAGTACAGAAATGGAAAATTCATAGAGAAAGTAGAACCTACGGGGATTGGGGTAAGTGGGGAGTGACTGCTAAGGAATACAGAATTTCTTTGGGAGGTGATGGAAATATCCTAAAACCGACTGTGATGATGATGATGATATGAAAAACCACTGAATGAGGAGACTTTTAATAGGATAAATTTTATGTATGTAAATTATATCCCAATAAAACTGTTATTGAAATATTTAGTCCAAGCATGGCGTAGCTCATGCCTGCAATTCTAACACTTTGGGAGACCAACAGGGGAGGATCGCTTGAGGCCAGAAGTTTAAGACCAGCCTAAGCAAGAGTGACCATCCCTACCTCTACAAAAAATAGAAAAATTGGTGCAGTGTGATGGCGAGCACCTGTAGTCTCAGCTACTCCAAAGGCTGAGGGAGGAGGATCACTGGAGCCCAGGAGTTTGAGGCTGCAGTGAGCTATGATGACATCACTGCACTCTACCTGAGGTAATAGAGTGAGACTATCTCAAAAATAAATTAAAAAAAAAATTGCTTCAACATCATCAAAAAGATTTGCTTTGTTTAAAAAAAACCTGCTAGAGTTTAGAATATAAAAGTATAGATAACAGGCGCCTGTGGCTCAAGTGGCTAAGGCGCCAACCACATACACCTAAGGTGGCGGGTTTGAATCCAGCCCGGGCCCGCCAAACAACAATGATGGCTGCAACCAAAACATAGCCGGGCGTTGTGGCAGGCACCTGTGGTCCCAGCTACTTGGGAGGCTGAGGCAGGAGACTCGATTAAGCCCAGGAGTTAGAGGTTGCTGTGAGCTGTGATGCCACAGCACTCTACCCAGGGGGACAGCTTGAGGCTCTGTCTCAAAAAAAAAAAAAAAAAAAGTATAGATAATAAAATTTAAATTCACTTATCATCTCACTACTCAGAAAAAAACTACTGGCATTTTATGTATTTGCTGCCAATATTTTTCTATGTATATATTTTAAATAGCTGACCTCACACTGTATAGGTTGGTACCAAGCTCTCTAAATTTAATAGTCAATCACAATCCTATTCTCAGGGTTGGGATCAGAAGTATTTCAGATTTCAGACTTTTTTTGGATTTGGGAATATTTGCATTATACTTACTGGTTGAACATTCCTACTCTGAAAACCGAAAATTCTCCAATGAGCATTTCCCTTTGAGTATCGTGTCAGTGCTCAAAAAGGTTCAGATTTTGGAACATTTTGGATTTCAGATTTTTGGACTATGGATATTCAACCTGTACCCTATGCTACACATTGAAGTATTTTCCTATTGCATAAAAATATTATGATGAGCATCTTCGTGTGTTAATCTTTGCCTGTCTTTCGGATTAATTCCTTCAGATGGTTTAATAGAAGTATGATTACCCCACACATCAAGGTCCATTGGATCCAATTTTAGGTTCTAAGGAGGTTTTGTTGGTTGATTTTGTTTGTTTGTTTGTTTGTTTTTCTGAGCAGTTCTAACTATTTGTAAGAATTGCTATTCATGACTTTTATTTTTTTCTTGTGAATTTTTTCCCCAAAATTCACTCTACCTTACACTTTCCACAAGTTCACAGGACCCTTTAAAAAATATCTTTAAGTTGCAACAGGGGATGTGAATGATCTTAGTTTCCCAATATGTTGAAACAGTTGACTGTTTTTTCATCCTAGGAATTATTTCATCATTTCCCATCAATGACTGCCACCTATGATGCCATAAAAGACTAAATTAAGAAAGCAAGAGCATGACGTGAGATCTCCCCTCAGGCGAGGAAAGGGTAAAACACGTCGTCACAACAACATTACCCTTCAGTTCTCACTGCACTGCCCAGAGAATTTTATCATTTTCAAGACGGAATAAAGAACATCTGAAGACACGCTCTTGGCAGTCTTTGGGGGAGGTTTTTTCTCACCTTCATGGAACACAATCGAGAATTCGTCATTGTTCATTTTACACCCATCACAGCCAAAAGAGAAAAAGACAATGACAGAGAAAGCCACCCGAGGGAGACATTTCAGAGTGATCACACGTGCCGGAAGATGAACGCAGAGAGACAGGAGGCAGCTGTCTAGATCTAAGGAGGATGGAGAAACTGATCAGAGAAGTGAAATCTTATGTGACGCTTCCGTGAAGCTTCTGTGACCATATCCTAGATGAAATGTAGGACCAAAAACTAAATATATTTCAAAAGGCCAAAAGGAAATGTGATGTTCTCATCCGGTTCATCACTTAACAATCATTTAACAGAACAAACTCTATCATGTAATATTTTATGACAAGAACACACATGGTCCCTATTTTGCTAAAAGGCTATGACAGTATTCCTTCCCTCCTTATATGAGGTTTTTGCACCAAAATGTGCTTGAAATGGCTCATGAATAGACGAATGCTGATGGGAGGTGACTTTTTGGAGATAGGTACAAAACAACCAACCCAGGACCCCAAAACTGAACCACCCATATTTTAGGACTCGATATCACAGAAGCCAACCACCTGCTCCATTGTAACAGCTAATAGTTATTAAGCCTTTACCGTACATGTGATCAAGAACACTTCACATCATCTCATCTAATCCTTTCATCATACCCATTTTATGAAATGAGGACACTGGAGGCACACAGAAATTACACGATTTGCCAAAAGGTACACAACCACCAAATAGCCGGGCTAGGATTTGAACTGGGAAGTTTGGCTCCAGAATCTACATTCTTCACTCCCTTTCCCAGGATTATGGAGCTCAGCCAGAATCTGCAACGGGTGTCTTTTTTCCTAACATAAAATGGAGTGAAACCATCATTTCTGAGCTTCCCTGTTCCTTTCTACTCACTTCTTTCTAACTCTGAACAGCCCAGGGAGCCACCTGAAACACTTGAGAGGCACTGCTCTTGCGTGGTGTTGGCTAATCAGGGCCTGAGACCCCATCATGGCACCACAGACACAGTGAGGTACTCTGAGCACTTCACAAGGCTCCTTCATAGCTTTCCTGAGGATACTTTTGAAAAACCTAACAGAAGCTATGGAACCATCTCCCAATAAAAGGTACATATAGATTTTACAGAAAATTTCAGGGGGGTTGTTCCCTCAAGCCTATTCATGGCCCCCAGTTAAGTTCCCCCATTGCCCCTACTTCAAACCAATCCTTTGTATCTCCACACAGAATGTCTGGGTCAATGAAGACAAACATTTAAATGGATTAATTAATTCCATTCATACCGACCATCTAGATGTGACTGAGACTACTGAATACCCCAAAACGCTGGATGCAGTGGCTCCAATCTGTAATCCCAGCACTTTGGGAGGCTAAGGGAGGAGGCTTGCTTGGGGCCAAGAGCTTAAGATCAGCCTGGACAATACAGCAAGACCCCATCTTTACAAAAAGTTGAAAAGTAGCTGGGTGTGGTGATAAACACCCGTAGTCCTAGCTGCTCTGGAGGCTAAAGTGGGAGGATCACTTGAGCCCAGGGGTTTTGAGGTTACAGTGGCCTATGACTGTGCCTGCCACTTCATTCCAGCCCCCGGGCAAAAGAGTGTGACACTGCTTCTAAAAAAAAAAAAAAAAAAAAAAAAATTAAAAAAGGCAAAAAGAAAAGAAAACCCAAATAGTTAAGATGCACCAAAACTTCTCTTTCTTCATTAGTTTCTTCTGTCAAAATCAACAAGACAATAGCCACAGCTTTTATTTTTCTTTGGCAAATAAGACAGATTGGAGGATGATAAACAGAGAGTCACATTTTAAGAAACCTGAAGGCAGGCAGTTCATAAGAACTGATCCTGAGAAAGGGAAGAAGCCAGCAGGTTCGAGCTTTAGTATCTAACACCAAAAATTTTCTGGCCTTACATGATCAATGGGCCACTCCAGAGATGCTATTTTCTGAGTATGACTGCATGGGGTTGTCCATATGATGTGAGTAAGGCGGGATCGCTTACACAGCAACCAAAAGCTCCACTTTCACAAATGACCTTTCTGAGGGAGGTCCTAGCAGCCTGTTTAATTAGAGATTTATATTTGGAAACAGTGTTGGCAGGAAAGTCTATCTCCCTTTCTATTTACCTGCAAAGACTATGGGAAGCCCTCAAGGAATTACCACGATCATAGAAAATCAGACTAGTCCACACATCTGCAAAGCTGCCCAGAATTCTCCAGCTGGAGCGAAAGCCCTCGGTACACGGATCACGTGAACAGCATCACCTGAAAGCCTGGATGTTTGTCACCCTCAAAATAAACACGAGGAGCAGCATCAGATGCTCAAAAGGCCCTCTGCCCCCGTGCAACCAGGATGTTAAAAAAGTTAGGAACAAAATGAATAATTACAAGACAAATGACAAGCACCAGCCACTCAGAAGAGGAGAAATAGTCTGCCTAAACTCTAGACTCAAAAGCATAAATGGAATGCCCCTTGACTAATTAGTTATGTCACCTTCTCAGAGCAGAAACAAGAGTGTAAAATGGTACAAATTTAGGGAGGGAATTCCTTTTGTGCTAGTGGATGACGCCAGTAAGACTATACAGTTAGCGCAAAGACCTGGCGAGACAGCTCTGATGGTGAGGCCACAGCCCCAACCAGGACAAGGCCCAGGGCAGCCCCCCAAGCTGGAAGCTATGCGCCTTCCATCAGACGCTGTGGCTCATCGGGAACCCCTCCCTGGCACGCTTGGAAGCTTTCCATTTTCATCTGCTAATACCAGACAGCGCTGGAAAACGTGGTGATCAACACATACGGAAAACTTGTAAGCTTTTTCTTTTGATATGGGTTTGCTATGGTTTTAATTATAATAAAATACACATAAACTTTTTTCTTCTTTTTTTTTTTTTTTTTT